GTATCAATTATTTTAGGTATTATTCTATTTACAAGGTATATTCATATTTTTATACTAAAATAGGTCAGTCTTATTAAACGATGAATTATAATATATTAAATTAGATATAGTAAATTAATTAAACAGTAATTTAATTAACACGCATCACCAATTTGTTCTTATAAAAAATGATTTATCTCAATAAATATTGTGAATAATGAGAAATGGGATATAAATGAGGTCACACGAGATGTGAATAAATTGATGATGATTGAAGGTGAGTGAAAAAATGATTAATAAATAACTGGAGGAAAAGGTATCAACAATTATATAATACAGTACCTTTGAGACTGAATTCGAACGTGGAGGAAAGTCTTTCGTAGAGTCAGCTCGGCGGATTCTGGCTGACTTGCTCGGATGGCTTGAAGGTAAAGCGGGGGCAATGTCAAGGTGCTATAAGGCTCGGCGCATCCCTGACGGGCGGTCATTCCACGCGGAGAAATTCAATCGGAGCGGGACGAGAAACCTCGAACGGGATAGTTCAGCTAGCCGTAATAAACGATGAAGAGTATTCTATTGGTGTGTGCGTGCTCGTTGCTGATCGGGGTCCAGGCCATCGGCAGGTACAGAGGCCTCGAGTTTTTGGATCCTTGCCCCAAGAGTGATTACAACGTCGAGAGTTGCTTAGCAAGATCAGCCAACGTCCTCACCGAGCACTTTCAACACGGTAAACACGGCCTTCATACGATTTTTATAAAAACTAATGCATTCTTGACGTCAGGGACGTAATCTAGATCGAAATTGCTTTTGGTATTAAAAAATAATTATCTTTCATTTGTGTACATCCAATTTTTCTACAAATGCAGAAAATTCACTCAGTCGAGTGATAAGAATTTCTAATATCGGATTGCTGGATCGTAATAGAAATTATGGGCTTAATAAGGAATGGGATCTTTTAATTGTATCGATGGATAAATAATTGTGCAGAAATTTCCTTAAAATTAAAGAAAGTGTTATAATAATTAAAATTTAATAACTAATCAAAACAGGAATGTATGAACAGAATTGTGTGTCAGAATTCTTGCAGCGATACCGCTTGCTCCCGTTTACGTATTAAAATCACTGGAGATTGTATCTTTGCTTGAGGCAGCTTGTCAAGTGTCACAGATGTAGGATATTGACTCATAGCACGATATTAACTATGATACTGTTTTTAATTATCAATTAAGGATATTTAAAGCAATTTAAAGGAGAAAAGTTGTGGCCAATTGCAAGTTGCAAATAAATAAGAGTAGGTAAAATATAAACTGTTTCTCTCCTTACAAGTTGTACATTAGAAACTGCCTCGGTATATCTTTTAATTGTAAGAGTGGTACATAACACTTTATTGAGTAGTATCAATTATTTTAGGTATTATTCTATTTACAAGGTATATTCATATTTTTATACTAAAATAGGTCAGTCTTATTAAACGATGAATTATAATATATTAAATTAGATATAGTAAATTAATTAAACAGTAATTTAATTAACACGCATCACCAATTTGTTCTTATAAAAAATGATTTATCTCAATAAATATTGTGAATAATGAGAAATGGGATATAAATGAGGTCACACGAGATGTGAATAAATTGATGATGATTGAAGGTGAGTGAAAAAATGATTAATAAATAACTGGAGGAAAAGGTATCAACAATTATATAATACAGTACCTTTGAGACTGAATTCGAACGTGGAGGAAAGTCTTTCGTAGAGTCAGCTCGGCGGATTCTGGCTGACTTGCTCGGATGGCTTGAAGGTAAAGCGGGGGCAATGTCAAGGTGCTATAAGGCTCGGCGCATCCCTGACGGGCGGTCATTCCACGCGGAGAAATTCAATCGGAGCGGGACGAGAAACCTCGAACGGGATAGTTCAGCTAGCCGTAATAAACGATGAAGAGTATTCTATTGGTGTGTGCGTGCTCGTTGCTGATCGGGGTCCAGGCCATCGGCAGGTACAGAGGCCTCGAGTTTTTGGATCCTTGCCCCAAGAGTGATTACAACGTCGAGAGTTGCTTAGCAAGATCAGCCAACGTCCTCACCGAGCACTTTCAACACGGTAAACACGGCCTTCATACGATTTTTATAAAAACTAATGCATTCTTGACGTCAGGGACGTAATCTAGATCGAAATTGCTTTTGGTATTAAAAAATAATTATCTTTCATTTGTGTACATCCAATTTTTCTACAAATGCAGAAAATTCACTCAGTCGAGTGATAAGAATTTCTAATATCGGATTGCTGGATCGTAATAGAAATTATGGGCTTAATAAGGAATGGGATTTCTTATGTCAGAATTCTATTATATATAGAAAATTCCCATTCTGAAGTCATACATTTCCAATTTCTATCCATTGACGCTTGCCAACAGCCGTTGGTATATCTAAGAGATTGATGGAGTCGTTTTGTAAAAGTGGAATTCGTCTAAGCGAAAAATACGGAAGTCGAAAGTCGGGAATTACGGATCACCACGTGGTGTCGTTGAACGGAGTGAAAAACATTCGCGGGAAAGAAGCAGGTTATAACGGTGTATTCGAATGGTCACCCAGTGTCCTACATTCCTTACTCACTGTACGACACGACAGGCTCAACGAGAATAGGTTCTAACTTCGCTCACTGTTCCAAACGAATTTCTAATCAATTTACTATTCATTTATTCTAACAATGGTAATAAACTTTTTCTATTTATCAATTATGAGATTGTAGCTATTGTAAGACGTCTCAATTGGATAGTTACGGTGTCACCTATTTTGCATTCACGTTTCCATCCTTTCACTGCTTTCTTTAAATACGACATTGCCACAGCTTAATAAAATTGTTATTTATTACAGATTTTACAATCTCATTTTTATGAAATAATAAAATTTCAATGTCAGATTTTAAATTTGCCGAATGACCTTATTAATTGTGAATTAATTTGACATTGGAATTTTCAGGTTTGCCTCAGTTGGGCTACCCGGAAGTGGAGCCGATCATTCTGGATGAATTACACATCGCCCTTGGCGGAGGACCGGATGGGTACAGAGCTCAGTTCAAGAACATCACCGCGAAAGGAGTGTCGACGCTGCGAGTGACAGGGCTGAGGGCCAGGCTGTCGGACGACGAGGTGCAATTGCAGTTGGCCCTGAGTATTCCAAAAATTCGCGCCGCGGCCAAGTACAGGTCCAGCGGCACTCTGCTTCTGGTGAAAGCCAGCGGAGCCGGGGACTACTGGGGCGAATACGGTGAGCAGTCAATCCTTAATCCAATTCAATTATTTGGTTTATTTATATTTCAATAAAAAGTGTCAAAATCATTTGACGTCAGTTCGTGTCAATCATTCAATTTTTTATAAATAAATGACACCTTGAAATGCGATCTAATTCAATGTTTAGTTATTAATTAAAAAATATTAATACTGCAATGATGGTAGATGATTATGCGTGAATATAGCCAAACGGTATGATAGAAGATCGCGGGCTCAGTGAAAAGGTAAAAGTTAAGAGTTTCAACTTTCACCACCGACGCAATGCAAATTCGACTTCAGCTGACTTTTATTACGCTCCGTCGACTCATGCGTTCATTATTTTTTCTGTACACAGTAATTGTCTTCAACCATGAAATTAATTTATTATTATTTAGAATTTTTAGCAATTTTTCTTTATATTAAAATTCAATAAATTAAAGTATAAATATAAACTTGATAATTAATTATGTATAGAAATAAGTCTATTCTGTTGAACTTTGATGCACTTACGATATAACCAGTTTTATTAAATTGCTCCCAGTTTTTACTATCAATAAATACTTAATAAATGTAATCGATTGGTGAACTCAGTGGAAGGGAAAAGCAATAATTTTTCGAATCTCTCTGTGTGTATAGACGGTGTCAAGGCTAAGGTGTTTATCAGGGCGAAGCCTTTTCTGATCCAAGGCCGACGATACTTGAGGCTACAGCAGCTTAAGATGGACTTCAGCGTGCAAAGTATTAAAATGGGCGTCGAAAATGTTCGCGACAGCAATGCCATTATTCGTAAGTCAACATCCAATTGAAGTACTTTAATTCCTGTGATTATGCAAATATAAAACGATTGAATGATGAATTAAAAAAAGAGTTTAAATGTAGAAAATCGTTGGAGATGAATAAAAGTGTTTGTTTATTTGCATACACTTGTAGCTCGTTTCAGGAAAATTATAGTTGAAAAACTTGCTTAAAGACCACGTTTCATCGTAAATTTATAGCTTATGCAAAATTAAAGACCATTTGAAACTACTTTAATTATTGACTAATCTAGCATATTTTCCAACAATTTCAGTGGCTGCGTTGAATTTATTCATTAATACCAACAGCCAGGAATTATTGAAGGAAATGAAACCGGATCTGAGGAGGAAGCTGGTTCAAGTAATGACCACCTTCGTCGAGAAGATCTTTGCTCAGGTGCCCTACGACGCTTGGATCACCGAGTGATCTATACCAAATGATTTCCCACAGACGAAATAAAGATCACCAAATACTTACGCCTCGAAAATCGACAGGCTTAAATAAGAGTGAAAGATCGAACGGAAGTATTCAGATACTTTTTGGAGAACGCTGGATCAAATCTCGTTCACAGAATGAATCAGAAATTAATTTTTAAGTAACGTTATTTAAACATTTATTTAATCCTGTTGCAACTGGGATATAAGAGGAACGATAGAATGAAATACGTTTTGCAAATCATGAAAATTGTAANTTAGTGTTTAGCGTCATTTCCTTCGAAACGCGAAACAAAGGAACAGTACTTAAGTTAATGAACTTCTTTAGATAACAAACTCCGTCAAACTGAGTCTTGTAAATCATCGTCATCCTAAAGAAACTTATTTTTAATTAATTACACTTGAAACAGGTCAAGTATTATTAATATCTCTAACACATGGATCTAATTTTACAGTTATACTAATTCTAATATCGATATTTTTAATCATTGTAATTACGCATTTTATTCATTTATGATAATTCAGCAGTTTTACCATATTTATCTTCCACTTGTCTTGCCAAATGAATATTTTAATCTAAACGAGAATTCAACATATTTCTCTAATTAACAAGCATTCGTTATTTTTAATACAGGGACGAATTTCTGATGCCGGAACGGTTGTTCCCGTTGTTCGCGGTTCAAAGTATTATACATATACGTGCCGAAGATCACGAAGAAGCGTCCTGAATCTGAGATTCCGCGCGCGTACACACGGCCTTTCCGCCAGCTACGTGGACACCCGGTTTCACGCGTGTTTTCCAAGAAAACGATGAACGAAAAGCAGGTCCGCCGATTCGAAGGACAGGGTCAAGGCACTGAATCACGTGCTAGATGCTTCCCTATTGAACCATCTCGCGCTTCACCGACACGTGCGCGGTTCGCCAGTATTTTGGTAAAAATCGTTTGATAAACGCCTCGAACGGCGCCGTAAATCTAATTGGATTGCTCGACGCCATAATTCCCAAGGATAAGGCAATCAGGTTGTTCTGTTAATGGGCGACAATTATAAAATAATGACCTAATGAGCGTATAATGAATTATTTACCGCTCATGCCCACATCTATGTTAATGTCAATTACTCGGATGAGAATACTAATTAGTTATTGCCGTTTTTTTATTTTTTAGCTGAAGCTGACAACCTTTAGCAGTATACAACACATAAATGTAGATCTCTTTTTTAACAGATGAATTATGCATTAAATGCAAAATTGGTACCGCCTTTCGATTATTAATTTCTGTATGTTATATAAAATAGTTTCGTACGACGTTATATCGTATCTCACGGTGTGATGTGCAGTTTTTTTTCTAAGTCGATGTAGAAATCTTTTATTTCGTTCTCCTTTTCGGCGAAAGTATCGTTCACTTTTTCACACTTCTCGCTCATATCATTAACGAAACGTTCCCAGTCCTGCTTCCTCAGTTCTCTATTTACATACAACGCTGCATCCTGAAGAATAATTTAAACAAAAATCACATTAATCATCAG